CCTGCTCGTGCCCCAGCTCCGCCAACTTTCTCTACTCGACACCCCAGCTCTTCGGCCTCGTCCCCTGCCCGCGCCACCGCCTGCCGCGCTTCGTCGCCCGCACCGGCCTCCTCGAGCCCAGCGTCACCCCCTGGCCGCGCGACGCCCAGCCCCACCCCCTCGTCGCCCGCGCCCTCCGCCTGCTCGCCCGCCTGCGCCTGCTCGCCCTGCGCGTCCGCGACGACGACCCGGCCTCCATCGAGGCCACGAGCAACCTCACCCTCCTCAACCTCTGGCTCGTCTGGCGCGGGCCCCTGCGCGAGGACCGCCTCGCCTGGGAGGTCACCCTGCTGCAGCTCGCCGTCGGCCTCTTCGGCCTCTTTGTCCGTCACCGTCTCGCCCTGCTCATCTTTAAGGAGGACAACTGGGTCTTTTCGACGACTGCCGTTTGAGAATGGCGAATGCGCATGGGCGCCATGCCGCCAGAGACGCGATGAGGAGAACGGGTGCATTTTTCTTCGTCTTTTTGTTTGGTTGGGGTGAGGCCTTTATTGCTCTATACCAGGGGCATGCGTACGCGAGGACTAAAGACCAGGGAAGTTACGCATGCGACAAAAAAGAAGCATAGATTTCATCTTGAGGTTGCTCGCTTGTCGTGCAAAAGCTGGCAGCCTCGTTGTATTGCTGCTGTATTGAAGATACCCCCAGACTAGGAAGCAAGAAAACATCATCATGTCTGTAGTGTTGTCAGCCAGAATGTCGCAGTTGCAACATGGAGGTTGAAACAACTACACATCTTCTCGTTGTATGTCTTGCTACCCATCCTCCCCTAGATGCTGCCATAGGCCTAATCACTTGTGCAAGCCATCACGAGCTCAGTAGTCATGGAATAGTGTGAAAAAAGGGCAGCCTTGGCCGCACATCATCCATTGAATCAATACCTCATCAGACCCTCTACCCGAGGCGCCTCGACGCGGGACGAGGCGTCCGACAAGCCGTCCCTGGAATAAACCATATAATACACACCAACGACGTAACATTGCCGCCATTCCCGCAGGCCAAGCCAACAAAATAAATCAGAGAAGAGCTGTTTACAAGAAGCGCCTGTCGACCCCGACGGAGAGATCCGCTGTGAGCGGCGCTCCTTGACCCCCACATCCCCGTGTGTGGAGTTTCCCGCACGCCAGTCTCGACCCTCCAGAAAAAGGGGGCGGTTTTCCCACATTTCCCCCCTTGGCCGAGTACGCCCCGTTCTCGGCACACAATGCCGTCCGTTCAACGCCGTAAGAAAATCAAAAGAACCAACTATTTCCTGCCCCGACGCTTTTTCAACAACGAGTTGCAGATTCGTAGATGGTCATGTTGACATGGCATGTCGCACAGTCCATCTTCCTCTATTTATATTACAAGGGTGTATCGGTCGCGGTGAGGGTCGGACTGACACCGTTGACTCGAGCCGTCTCTGTCGCTTCGTTCGCCTTTGTCGTATCAGCCGCGTCGGCAATGCCATCGACGCCTGCCTTGGTCTCTTTCGTTGTGGGAGTCTTCGGTCCACCATCTGGTTTCGACGCAGCCTTGTTCAACCTGCTCTTTGTGTAGTCGCTAAGACTCAGCTTCTTCTTGACCGGGCTAGGATGTGTGATGCCATTGACAGCAGGAGGCATCAGAGCGCTCGACGGAGCACCAGTCGAGGTGGACAGCAGGGGTGCTTGCGAGTCAGTGGCCACTTGAGGCGTTGTGACATTGGCCACGGCTGATGTGGCGTCACCAAAAGCAGGAACTGGAGGCAGGTGGACGCGCAACTCCGGTGACTTGACTTCCACCGGACTACTGACCCCATTGACCTCAGGCAGCTGCGCCGTTGTTGTCGTGGGCGATATTGACGCTGCATCTGTTGGGGGCGCGTCTGTCATCGGAACATCCTCCAGGTTCCTCGCCTCCGGTGTTGGCGAAGGGGGCAAGTGTTCCGATTCCTTGGGCAAGGATGGCGAGTCCGAGGCCTTCCGGGAGTCAACTGGAGGGTCAATTTCCATGGCTGTTGGCGTTGTGGGCGCGGGCAGCGATGTCCGACGCTTGGACTGGTCCACCCCATCACAGCGCGCCCGATGGCGGTTGTTGAGCAGACGTTGTGACAAGGAGATGATCCGTCGTCGAGGCTTCGGCGTCGGCTCTGCTTCGCTGTACCACTCACCGGCGACTGGATCGGTTTGAACAGACGCATCGCAATACTTGGGCCTGGGTGCGGTCGATGCGGGTCGTGAATTCGATGCGACAGAATCCGTTCTGGAGGTGGGGCCCTTGAACGGGTTCTGCCATCCTGTAGAGTGGGCGCTCGCTGGAGATCCTGATTTGCTACGTGACGTTCCAGCATCGACATACCTACTCGTACCATTGGAGCCAGAAATGTTGGATGTGAGCGCATTCTTTGACTTGGGAGGTTTGCTGTTGGTGCCATCTGATGTCCGCTTCTTTTTGCGAGCAGGAGGTTGTTGCTCCATGCGTCGGAAAGAGTCTTCGACCATTTGTACCTTGCGCTTTTCTCTCTCCGTGGGCTCCGTCAAGATGCCGGGCTGATCGAGAGACCCCTGACGCAAAGGCGTGCGATCTCGGCTTGGCGGCTTGCTTCGCTCCGACGTTGATCGACCGTCTTGATCGAGGTCATCGTTGTGGCTTTCGCTAGCTGCCCTGCTATTTGCTGCATGTCCTGTGCTAGTGGGAGAAATGGTATGCACTTTCGGCTTTCGTGACTTCTTTTTGGGCACCTGGCTTCGAGATTGTGACCTGGCTTGATAGTGGCGATGGAAACGAGCAAAGGCGCAGTTGCTACCAAGATCGCATGCGCAACCGCCGAATTCGGACAGAACGCGGTGAAGCCATCCGGATGTCTGCTGATATTCGGCTTCGTCCATGTCTGGCTCATCTCGACCATGGACTTCGTCGTCGCCGAGGCCGATGAGGTGCATCATTCGTGCCTTCTGCAGCTTTGGCAGCCGGAAGTCCCACGGCAATGTAATCTGTTCATTTGCGGCAACAAACCGATCGCTGACGAGCCAGAAGTGGTATTCAGAAGAATTGGAAAGGTAGGTGTCGAGGACGGCATTGGGCTTGCAACTCCGGCGGACGTAGCGAGCTTGTGACATTTCGTTTCGAGTGTCAATGCACAGAGGCAGCATGGGGTGGAAGAAGACAAACGGGAGAGGCGAAGTCAGCTCTTCCCACAAGTTGGTCGGATCAGCACAGTAGTCTTTTTGGAACAGGATTTGACCGCACAGCTCAATCAGCGGGACGTCCTTATCTATCGCCGCCGGAGTCGTGAGATACTTCCATCGCAAGACAGTGTCTGGCGCCAACGGTATTTGCTTGTCTTGGACGACGAGTTGCTGCTGTCCTTTGCTGATGTCCGGGGGCAGCTTTTGAAAGACGTCGTTGTAAGACTCACCCGTCTCTTGCCTCATCATGTCGGGTTCCCGAAGCCAAAGAGACATTGTGTTGGATATCGCCAGGCTCGAGAAGGAGTTGCTTGGCGTTCTTTGAGGGTCAGTCTCAGGCTCATTCCTATACAGCGTGATGAAGCGATCGGAATAACCGTGGATCTCAAAGTCGGTGGGCAGTTCGGGAGGACTCGTCGCAGGGCTCGGGGGCTGCCCATTCAATCGTACGTTGCTGTCGGACGGGCTTCGCTTGTTTGCTTGTGAGCTGACAGAATTGGAAGGGCGATGGGAGCCCTTGGCCTTTTTGGCTGGGTGGTTGAGGTCGCCAGGGCTTCCGTGTTTGCCATTTTCTTGGCTCACGGAGTGTCCGTTCAATTGGAGGTCTGTTGGCTTTGGCTTCTTCTTGTGGCTTTTCGAAGGGGGTCGCCGAGGCTTCTTGTCCTGGGCATCTTCCTGCGTGGAGCCGTTCTTGAGTCTTCGCGTGCGCTCAATGGCTTTTTGTCGATCGAGAGGGACGCGGCTTGCAGTCGGGCGCACGAGTGGGAAAAGTCCTCGCGGAGTGCCTCTTCCTTGCGGTTCGGGGTAATAGCACTCAATGTGTTGCCATGTATCACAAGTCTCGCAGTATATCGTGTTTCCATCATCATCAGAAAAGTTGCAGATGCACTTGATCGTGTACGGCTCCTCCTCAACGGCCTCAGCCTTGCGCGCCGGGGCGGGTTGAGGAACGGGGATGGCTGGAGGAACGACATGTGCCTGACTAGGAATCGCAATCTGCGTCGGCAACGGTTGCGGGTTTTCGGTCATACTCTAAGGAGGGCCTCGCGTTGGTATAATTGCGGTCGGGAGGGTTATGGGCGAAGCTGGTTACTGTTGCGGTCTGGGGAGCATGACGACGCTTGCCCAGACGCGCGTGAATGGGTAACCGAGCTGTTGTTTCGGAGCAACGACACCAGACGCGGCGCTCATTCGGCAGCTAACCCGAGGCTCTCGACAATTGTGGCCAGACGTTGCGAACTGCTCGCTCGGAAGAGGTAGATGTGGTCGGAATCGGCGCTCACAGCAACGGGGAGGGGATGAAAGGTAGCGGGCAACTGAGATCAAGTCGAGAGACGAGTCGCAGGAGTAGGTGATGATCGCAAAGCGTCGTATTCGAAAGTGACACGTTCCGGTCGAGGGTTTGTTGTGGAAAATTCTTCGTGGTCGCGAAAAGGACAATCGTCGAAGACACGACGAGAACGGGGAACCGGGAGAGGGGCGATCACGAATTACGTCGAGTACATGCGCCTAGGAAACAAAGACTGGCAAGACTTGGTCGAATGGTCAAGTCCAGATGCTGGAAGCCGATCCTAAGACTGGGTTCGAGGTTCGTCGGGAAGAGGCAACGCGGGTTGGTAGAGGGCGTCGTGGTCGAAGGGGGGAGGATGGGTGGGAAAGAGATTGGAGAGAGGAGGAGAGGGGACAACACGAAGAGAAAGAATGGATGGGGCAGGAGACTGGGCGAGCCCCCCGACCAATGGATTTGGGGGGGGGGGGGGGGCGTGTGGGTGTCTGGCGTGGAGCGTGGGAGAGAAGACCTGAGCGACTGGTAGGTAAGGTAGGCGGGTTGGCTTGGGCTCAGGCCTAGGAGT